CTGGATGGAGCTTCATCACCAAAAATTAAACTAAGTTCATCCATGCATTGTTGTTGAGATAGTCCACGTCGAAAGTTGTAGAGAATAACCGCGCGAAAATGCTCACGATTCAACTCCATAAATTGGCCTAAACAAAATCTTATAACTTAGGGTGAACAACACAAATCGCGCTCAAATTTCGCAACGTAACCTCAAAATAATCAAACTTTACGATAGTGGTGTCAGTTGCTAGATTGCTACACTAATGTTTCCAAATCCCGAAATATAAAAGGCAACCCTCGTATAACTTTACTGATTCTACGTCAGCGCAATTATATTTACAAATTGCGTCGAATACCCGATATAGAAGGTGGATTTCCTAAATAAACAATAGCTTGTTGCCTAGAATCTTTATTCAGTCCAATGTAAGTATATTTCCAGCACAGAATGGATTGGAGTATTTCCATTACGAATACGACTGGAGCTTACTTGATCACTCCTACGCACCTGGTATGTGCAGGCTGAAAGCCACTTTTTTCAAATTTTCCCATTGATTTCTATTCCTTTCTCCGATCAGTGTAATGGAATGAAAATCAGTTTCAGCATCAAAAATCGCTGGACTGGTAACCTTCTGCATTGTCATTTTGATTGCGGCTGCATTGTTCTGGAGAAATGCTGATGAAAGGGAACGGTTCGTTTTGCCTCATTGCGAATTATCCGATGGCATCGCAGGGCGTCATAAGTATCAGAGTGCTGGTTGAAACTACAGCCATCCGATCTATGATTTCCAAATTCGGCCATGAGTATGTTAATTGAAGGTACAGTTCGCGATAATTTTAGGTAATCAAGATTATGACAAAAAAATGGAAGATGAGGTGTAAAATAGTGCGATGAAGGCGAAGAAGGAGCGCGAATCGGCATTTCTAAAGTGATAGAAGGTTTAGAAAAAATCGTTAAAAGGGGCTGGACCAGAAGAAGACCAGAAAAATGATGGACAACGGAGCGTTCGGACGAGTTATACAATGTGTGTCATTGCGTAGGTGTGGATAGATGACCACAGTAAGCATAAATGTCCTCTGAAATTCATTCACTCATAAGTATAAGTTAAGAAAAACGCTGGTAACAGCAACAATAGTCCACATTCTTCAGCCTTTCAGGGTAGAAAATATCAGCTGATTGCGTGCTAAACGCGTGGGTCCTGGCGCGAGTATTGCACTCTATATCGCCTCTACACTAATGTGACACATCACAGGTCTATGGGCGTGGCATCCAAGCGATCCGGTAGTAGGGCTCCCACTATGCCCTAGCTACTGAGTTTTTGGATCCGANCCCTTACGGGCCATTGGATATTTCTAGAAAGAGAACTCTAAAACGATTTCTATCGTGAACTGTGCCTTTAACTTGCCTAAATTGGAGACAGACAGACAAAATTTGTGCATCAGAACCTGGGCAAGCAGAGCGTTTGTGATAAAAACGAATAAAAAGATGCCGGAGCAGAGGGCCGCATGGAAACTGTATGCTAGCAGAAGCGTCAAATGGACCTCAACTTCTGTCCCAGACCTTCTGTCACAGACCAGACCTTTTGTCAATTACTTTGTCGATTTTATCATAGGCTAAGATTGTTTAGCCTCTTACTGCAGATTGCGAGCATTTGTTTCTTCCAACGCTTCGTCCTCATTTCGTGTGGTCTGGCACCCAGGTAAGGAAGATGACGATATAGTGCAGTTGGTGAATTCGAGCGAAGATCTAATAAGTGAAGAGGTTCGAATATTCCTTCCTGACCTTCGTTCATCGAACATTTCAAATGTTGATCGAAAAAACTTTTTTAGGAAGATCCTTTACCTACATCTTTCTCTAACATGAACCATGAACCAATGCCTCTCCAAAGTGGAGCCATAACAACGGGGAGTCCCCATGCTGAAGGACTAACTGCTATGGAAATGAAGATGATTGAATAGATATTCTGAACCGCTTTCGAATAAATTTCTACAGAAAATGTTGTTGCTCGATTCAGGGATTGCAATGTTCAGTAGTCAGCCTTTCTTGGATTAGGCACATCTATTCGCGAGGAATCGAGGACGCCTCTATTACGCTTTCCTTATTAGGAACGATCAAGCAATATATGGCCATCGCAGCTTCTATTGTTGTTCCCTATTGGAATGACATTCGGCTACAAAGTGGTATGATGTGTTCTCTGAGCAGGCGAAATATTGAAAGGGTCCTCAATGTTAATCAACCTAATTTTCGACGTCACCTAGCGTTCATGAGTATGGAAATGGCTGAGGGTGATGCCAGCATGGCTTTGAGGAAGCAGTGAGAGCATTTTCTCGCTTCGATCGAGTTGTTGTTGATAAATATCCGTTGTTCTGTGATGTAAACAAATATCTTGAGCGGATGACAATTCGCATTACTAGTTAGTACATACATATATGGATAGTAGTCGTGGGATTCGAACGGCTGTACGTTTCACTATAGAAGATAGCGAGGAAACGAAGAGTCAGGGCAAACAGCATGTGAGACCCTTCAATCTACTCTCAAAGCATCAACATAATTCAATTGCATCTGCAATAGAACTCGCGATCAAAAATGAGCGCGAGTCATATGTAGATGATGATGTTTCAACACAATACTTCATATAGGCGGTATGTTCTGTAAAACGTCTCAAAAGGAAGTCTTTGACTTTAACAAGCCCTATTTCCAGGATTTGTAAATGTGCTGCTAATCTCAGGAGTGGTTACGATTTTTTTAGTAACTGCCATTTCTTTATTACAGTCATTTATGAAATGCGTAGGTGTCAATGAGCATCCTATACCTTGTTACACATGCATGATACACTGAAATGTCAGAGCGTTTTTGACGATACTTTGCCTCGCCGGGTTTATCTTTACTTATCGTCAGAGCAGCCCATTGCTCCATTGAGTTCTTCTGACTGCTTATTTTATAGATAGTATTTATTTTATTTATTTATTTCTGCGCCAAAATGACGCGCTATCACATACCGAGTAGGACTCATAAGCACCAAGTNAACGCAGGCGAAATCTCAAGTCAATAAATGGACGAGAGGATATAATCCATATAGGCCAAATACCAAAAAAGAAAGAAGTCAAGAATTGAGAGAAGCTATAATCCAGATCTTTCTAGAGCAACAAAACAATGAAAAGCATTAAGAAAGTTAAGATCAAACAAAAAAGAACAAACTACAAAAACTATAATACTAATGAAGCCTAAAAGTCTCAAGTCATCGGCTCGAATTTCATAGATGCGTCAACAAATGCAAAATACAACACAAATATTACAAAATTCTAATTTTCAAATTAGATTCATCCCTGCTGCTCTCTGCTCTACATCGTCCAGCATGCAGCGGCAGTGCTGGTCGGTTTGAGAGTGCTCTGTTCCCGTGACCATCAACTGCCTCTAGCTGTTTCTGCCGCTCCTTTCGCCAGCTCCTTCCACATGGATCTCTCATTTGTATTCGTCTACTCCTTGTTAGCCGGACTTAACTGCACCTCTCAGCCGAGAACTGTTTCGTTTTTCGTATTCGTAGCATCTAACAGCAGTTCGAATCAATTCCTCTACGAGTACAGATCACGTATGACCCAGAATCAATACAAGATTCTGATGTGGTAAATATAAGTTTATTGAATTATTTTATTTTCCTAAGTGTTAGCTGTATTCCTGTAGTCATGGATATAAAAGTCGTGGAGTAGTGTAGGAGTGGGGTGGTGGTATTTCCTGAACGATAAATGTCGAGATATATACGGTCGATGCCATAGCGCATAATCTGCCGGAGGTGATTATGTATGAGTAGTTCCTGTGAATTAAACAAGGTGTCTAAGCGGAGATGTCCAGGAGTGCCGAAGGTTCAATCACGACGTCTGGCTCTATACCTACAGTATGGGCAGATTCCACTGGTGGAGGGTGCGAAGAGCTCTTAGGGACCCTGAAACAAATCGCTCGTGCTTGCAGCGGGTAACCACTACGTTGATCCCTTTGATGTCATTAAGGAAGTTTCCAGTGGACGAGTCGACGTCAGTTTAGTTGTCATGACAATGGCGACGTCCATCTCGCGCCTCTGTACTGAATCCACGGTGTGTAGGGCGGCTCCGTGTCTGTTGGTGAACTCCTTGAGACGAGAGTACTGTTCGTTGTAAAACGTGATGACTCCTGTCGCTGCGGCGGGAATGTCGCGGGAGAACAACCCCAGAATTATGCCCTCACAGCATTGTGCCTCCTCGTCGTTGAAGTGGGATCGCGTGTGAGAGGTCCACGATGTGTTCACGAATACGAATGGCACCCGCCAAAGTGGTACGTGGTAGTTTAGGTGCGGTTGAAGTTGATGAACTTAGCCGATGCGAATATATCGTGCCGATGTGAAGCGGATGACGATCGCGAGAAATATCGGTTTAGGTATTTGGGACGGATCGTCGGCAATAATGGTATGGCAGCGGCAGAACGCCTCGTAGAAGAGTTCTCCACGTCTTGTTGAGTTCAGCAATGATGAAGTGTATACAACGGATCGATGGGAATCGAAGTCGGAGTAGTATGTCTATCGCACGTTAAGTGGTCTCAGAGTTAATCATCTACGCGATCCCTTACTTTTATCTGTCCCCTTCCGATAGGTTGATCGTCTGCTCCGGGTGGAAGAGCTTCGCTTCAAAGAGGCGACGTGCCCGAGTGCAGCGTCTGAGACGGTGGGTTTCTGAGGTGTCATTTTTGGCTTCTAGCCCATGAAGAACCTGTGCAAGTCGACAGGTGCCACTGACCGACTGTACCCTCCTGCAATAAGATGTCGGCAACGAAGCGTAGAAAAGAGTGGTGCCAGAAGTCGTCCAACTTCAGAAGGACTCTATTCCCAGTCCCAAAACCCGCCTGAATAGTTAAGATCGGGTGTCGTTCCTCGTCCATTGTCACAGCTCGTCCCTGGGCGTCCCGAAGCTGAGAGTCAAGAGATACGGAGATATTGGAGGGGGTGGGGGGTGTGGACGAATGCTGCGCATATCCCGCGGTTGCCCGGCATACAGAATCCAAAATAGAGCGAGTTAAGTTTGGAAGCAAGGCGTCCTTGTGAGGTAACAAGTTTTCACTCGCCAAGAACTCGAACACGGGGTCTGTTGCCGTCTCAGCGCGAGTTAAATGGATACAGATGCGGACTTCAGCGGTGTTTCTTTCTGCGTCGATATGTCCAAGTTTTAATATGGCGGCAGGCAGAATTGGTGCGACCGAGAATCGGCGTTGAGCTCAGCTTCAAGAGTCATATCATCGATGTTGTAGCGAACCTCTGTAATCGTCGAGGAGTTGGCAACCCAAAGATCGACAGGCCCGAAACATGTTCATCCTCCGTCCGACGCCATCGATTCCAGCCGAACCTTAAAATGCAAATGGAATGCATTCATGCTCAGTACGAATGCGTTGCCTGCTTGGGTACGTTTATCGTATACAATAAAAACCGGAGATGCTAGTGCGGCACTGGCTACGGCAAACATCTATCCCATACCCTCGCGAGCCTCTGCGAGATCTCGGATGTAGTTCTGGAAGTCCGCCGGCCGTTCGTCGACCCAAGCACGATCCTGTGGTGGCAGACGAGATACTCAAAGTGAAGTAATGGCCTCGCTGGGGTAGGCCGGCAGAAAACATCTAATTGCACCTGTTAATACTCGTTGTGCATCCACCGATATTGCGACATGCGAAAAGCGCATTGCGCAGGAAACATTTGTTCGTGCGTCGGCAAAAAGGAGATTTTTGTGTTTCACTTGGCCGAGTGGGAAGGAACGCAGGATCTGAGTAAGTCGTATGGAGTCCGCATGTCAAAGCTGCGTAGATGTGATTGACGAAGTGGCCTTGACTTCTGACCGCGAGTACAGTCCTCAAAATGTTCCGCTATGCGGTAGTTAGAGTGGCTAGAATAAATTCATGAACCCGGAAAAAGAATGGGTAAGAGACGTACATGGCCGACGGGCGTGGAACTCGTGCTTTATGGAGGACGTGTGCGGGCACGTTGTGTTGTAAAGCGTGTGTGGTCGCATGTAGAGACAGGGCCCAGACAAAGTCCTTGACGGAAACCTGAGATTTGTCGAAGCCCCGGGTTTGCGACAGGAAGTTGACCGAGTTTTGAGCAATGAAGTTCAAGATGATCTGATCCCGATACAAAGGAATCTTTCGTTTCTAGAGCGAAGCCGGAGCCCTGGTACCGATCGGCCACTGGGTAGAGTACCGGACGCACTCCATCTCCAATGAAGGGGTGGGGTAGTGGATGTGTGGGCAGTGTGCCCGGGGGTTTCGTCGGTCGACGAGCTATCACAGATGAGTCGTCGAAGTAACGATGCTTCAGAACGTCGTCGATCAGCTGGTGAGCCCGTTGGCGGAGGTTTATGGCGGTCTAAGTAACTGCGGTAGAGGCATATCAGATCAACAAGTAGGCCTTCAGAGACATTTTCAGCATGAGAAAACGGTCGCTTCGAAATGACGGCCCGCGGAAAGGATGGATGGTAAGAACCCAAGAAGAAGGAAAACCGAAGCCGAAAAAAGAGAATTGTGCCAGCCAAACGCTACGGACTCCAGTCGTGTTAATTGATCGTAGAAGATGCGTATTTTACAACCATTATGCTGCTTTGCATCGTTTCTCGTGACAGCGAGAATAGACGGCAGATAGATAGTTCCTCAAATGCCATCGTAACGATGAGACGACCAAAGGCGAGCGGGGGCGGAGATGCAAGGGGCGATAAGCCGGAACGAAAGGCAACAAAGCTGCGAAAGAAGCCAACAAGCGTAGCTATAACCGCAATGGTGGAAAAAAGAAAAAACCGGGTGAAAATGTAGTTGGGGGGGGGCACCCATTCGAAG